TGCAAAAGTTCCGAGTCTATTTTGGAAAGGCGCCAATAACAGTGTATTCTGATCATGCGGCGGTAACTAGATTGTACTCAGGGAAAAACTTATCCCCAAGGTTAATAAGATGGGCACTCAAGCTACAAGAATATAATCTGGTAATCAAGCATACCCCCGGAAAGGAAAATATCGTAGCAGATGCCCTATCCAGAATAAAATTAGATGAAGAAGGTAATACTGTAAAGGTGGCAATGCTCACAGCATGTACAATAAATTCCCGAGAAACTGAAACTAATAACCGAACTGGGTAAGGATCCTGATTTTGGAAACATTTATGAGTATTTAAAGGATCCTGAAAATTTTAGCCACCAAGATATTGTGGCGATAAGAAATAGGGCGGCCCATTACGAACTAATAGATGGTCTATTTTTATACAAAAACTACGAATTCCAACAACGAATTTCGACCTGTTATCCCAGCTATTAAATTAAATTCTTAGATTAAATATACTTGCAGGAGCTCCATGACATTCGCCCTTTAGCTTCTCATGCTGGTATTCGAAAAACCTATCCAACGCGTACGCGAAGCAGTTTATTTTCCTGAACTGCAAAAGTTAACAAGGGCGTATGTCCAGTCCTGCCCAATATGTCAAGCAGTTAATTATATTAATTTCCGCCCGGCCGGTGTTCTAAATAGTATTAAATCCGAATTTCCAAATGAAATAATTGGCATCGATTTATTGGGCCCTTTCCCAAAAAGTCAGTTAAATAAAAGTCGGTATCTCCTTGTTATGGTTGATCATTTTAGTAAGTGGACCGAAATTGTTCCCTTAAAACGAGCCTCCGCAAAATTAGTTACTGATTCTATTTTAAATAAATATATTTTAAAATACGGGGCGCCCCTAAAAGTTATATCGGATAATGGTCCTCAATTTGTAAGTAATATATTTGAAGACATGTGCCAAAAATTGGGCATGTGTCATTTAAAAATGGTCCCGTATCGGCCGCAATCAAATATAGCGGAACGGGTCAATAGAAATATAGTGAAAATTATCCGTAGTTATGTTAAAAATTTTCATAAAAGCTGGGATAACTATGTCAATGAATTTGCTTTCGCCCTTAGGACTGCAAAACATGATACAACGGGCAAAACTCCTGCTGAGTTATTTTTAGGCAGAAAGATTATAACGCCGTTAGATAAATTATTTTATGTTCAACAAAGAGCCCCAGAATTTAAAATGGGTGATATAGAAAAATTAATTAAAGAAGCAAAAAAGAACACTGAAGTAGCACAAAGAAAACAGAAGCTCTATTATGATATGAAACGACGGGGAAAAGATACAAGGAAAATTTGAACGGCCCGCAACGAGATCCAAGCAGGAACGAGAGAGAAGTGTCCCGGTTCCGCTAAGACCAGCTGCAATCAAACGGCCAAGACCACAGGCAGAGGCGAAAAAGAAGGTATTCAAGGGTGACCGAACTGGAGGGAAAAGAAAGCTCCTAGAGGAAGGAACTGAAGGGCGAGTCCGCACAAGAAGGGAGGATAAATCAAACACGAATCTTCGCTACCTTCCAGGACTGGGCAGAGAAAAGAATGTCTGAATATCACAAAGATAAGTAAAATTTTATGTTACTTTGCAAACTTAAGTTAATCTTTCACTCTTACTGCAAGTGGCAGATTTCAAGACGTTTTACCTCATGTGAGGTCTACCTTTATCGCCAAAAGGCGAGAAATGAGTTGTTACCTATTTTGGTATAATGTTTTTCAATTACTCGCGTGTAAAACTAAAGTTATGTATAATAGGAATGTGTAAATACTTGAATATTGTAAAAGTTATTGCATACATTTTATTTAAAACATTCTGGCAAGAAAGAAGTTTTAGTCTGAAAGACTTTTGAAATGTAGTATTTCAATGTAAAAGAATTGGCACTTGCTTGGAAAAGAATAGAAGTTAACAATGTACTACTAATGTATGTTTTAAAATGCGTAAAATTAACGGTTATTTAATTGTTCTTATATACAATGTGAACTGTTATTTTAAGCGTTAAGAAATACTGTGATATGTTAAAAGTGAAAGTAATGCCAAAAAAATTTTTAAACTTATTCGTGTGACTGTAAAAAGAGCCAAATTACTGTGAATATGTGTTAAAGGTTGAATGAATGTAGTTAGTCTCTCTGACGCTACACTTCAGAGTTAGCCACTTTCAGAATAGTACCTCAGGGTTTAGAGATGAAGATAAGATGTGTTACGAGGTCTTGTTATGTTGAATTTTAACACGTTAGTGTTTTGATTGTAGGAGGCAGTGTTGAACACTTATACATAAACACATTCGTGTTTGGTTTTTTCTTTTGCAACACATGTCAGAGAGCACGGGGAGAGATGATTAAAATAAAGTCATGAATGAAATAAGAATGTTAAGAGAAATATAAATATTCATGTGACTTGCCATTTAATTGTGTAACATTTCATTAAACTAGTTTTCCTTCCAGATCTCTGGAAGGAACCAGATTTCAACTAAAAGCTCCTGTTTAGATGCAGTACAGATGAAAATTAATTGTCCATGGAGCTGATAATGTAAAAAAAAATTTTTTTTTAAATTTCTAGTTTCTAGTGAAAAATCTTTGTAAAAGATTGGCCTCGCGTTAGATTCTAGAGCTAAAACTTTTCAACAAGGTCGTTTTAGATCTCAGTTTCAAACTAATTAACTCTGGCGGGAAGTATGTAAAGATCTTAAGTTTTACTAACGTTTATTTTATTTTAAATCTTTACTATCACTTCTTATTTTCTACTTCCGACCAGAATTAAAAGCTTTAACTTATTTATGCAAATTTGTCTGGCGAACGCCAAGTACTTAAGTTGTGGCTTTTTGCCAAGCAAGAGAGAGGAAGGAGTTAGTAGAAGCAGGCCGCTTGCCTTAGCAGTTTCACTCGGTTGCTGGTTGCCTTCCAGGCCAGAGGTTTAATCCTCTTGATAATTTTAAACGTATTGTAGTGTTAACAGTTCTCTGTACTACATACGGCTTCCTGTTAATATACGGCCAATCTTCCACGTAGGCCCTTGTTTATTATTCCAAAGTTAAGTTAGAGTTTAGTTAATATTTTTTATGTTCTTACGTTCAGACCACAAGTGGTTGGTCTCTGTATTCCGAAGTCCGGAAATTATTGTAAAAAGTGAAAAATAAAGGGTTTCGTATACCCTTCCTGTGTATCTTGTCTACTTCCCACATTTATTGAATATAGCTTTAGTAAGCTCCCTTACTGTCCCTGTTCCGAGTCAGGTCTTTGCATGTTCCCAAAGCAAGTAAGGCGGAACACTGAACCTGATAATACTTATGAATCACTGTCTTTTTCTCCATGCTAAATACATAGATTTTAAAATACAATTTATTAATGAAGTGAGTTCCACACAAATGTTTCATATAAACTGTTTGCTACCTCTTTATCCCCTCAAGCTTACTCTTCCTATCCATAAAGACAAAAAATTGCAGCCTTTCACACCTTTGTTCATTATGCTACTTATTTATGCTTCTCTCTTGCTACTTTGGACCTCAGTTCTCTGAAAAGTATTAGTTTTTTCACATAGTTTCCTTCCTATCAATGATAGCACTGCATTTAAGAGACTGTAAGCCATCTTCTTCAACTTAAAGTATTCAGATTAAGGATGATTTAATTTCATTCTATCGACTTGTCCACTATTTATCTCTAAGCTTAGTCTTTCTACTTGCTGAATATTTCAAACAAAATGATTTTTAAATTTATTTTAAAGCTAGCAATAAATTCAAGCTTCCATTTGTAAAAAGTGAAATGCAAGAACTTCATTCATTGGGCGTTTAGAAAATTGCCCGGAAGTGTGATTTAGCCCACCTACAGACCTTTGAAATTCAAGGTGAAGGTACACATTAGGCATGTGAAATGAAAGGAAGTCAAGAAGTTTTCAACTGCTTTCTCTTAATGGGATAAAAACCATAATTTTCATTTTATGAAAGATTAAATTATTGCTCACACTAATTTGCTTTTCAGCGTGGATTTCCTAAATACTTCAGATATCTTTTTACACAATAACCTAATCAGTTGTATAGCTTCCTCTCCATAATATTCCTGCAATAAAAAGAATTCCATCTTTATTTGAGCCAATTCTTAGGTTTAACTAATTTTTTATTTATTTTTTATAGTTTGAGAAAAGATGTACTGAATAGTGTTTCAAAATGGCCAAATTCTCATACTCATTTTACAACATGAAATAAAGATTCACTCACAAATACCTTGTACTGCTTCCAACTATGTAGATTCTTGCAGTTTATATTAAATTTTATATAATATGCCAATAAATATTCTTTCTCTTGTGTGACTAAATTTGATGAAGACATGCCTATTACCATAGATATGTAGCAGTTTAACCATAAGACTTTTGAGTACTTATTTATTTTTTGTTAACTAAATTGCAATATTTCATATAACTAAAACTGTAACTTTAAAGAAATTGTAACCATACCTGTATATCAGTTAGTAGGTTTGGCTGGTGCTTACCTGCAGATGCATGCATCCTTTTAACATGTTTTTGTTAAATATGTTGTGAAGATGACAGCTGGTTTATTTTACTAGGTAAATTACTTCTTTTCCAATACAAAGAACATTTGTTCTGACCTAGAACGCTATAGTAGTGTACTTGATATACTACTGTAGTGTTCAGTGATACTCAGAAAAAAAAAAAAAAAGGAGACTGAAGTATTAAAATGCTGCATAAATGAATACTTGTAAAACATTCTTGGACTAAAAAAATACTGTTTGACTTCCCTTTGCCTGAAACTATTAAATACTGTTCGTTTTCCTAACTTCATATATATCTACATTTATGTAACATTATTATATCTAGAAAGGAAATATGAACACCTCAGCTTTTCAGTCTTTATTTTTAATAGTACATAACAAACATTTAACTGTAAGCAGACAGCTATATATCTTTACTTTTTAAAAATGGCAAAATTATTTATATAATTTGATATTTTTCTTAAACTTACCACATCACTTGCCCATGAAAATTCTTTTTTAAGCAAACTTTCTATTGCAAGCCATTTAATTGGTCTGTTTTCATTATCACCTAAGCAGTGATAATCGCTGGGAAACAAATCTCGAGATAGAGCATTATCCGTCAGTTTTACTTGCAGCCAGTCATCTACCCTGTAAATAAATATGAGGGTTTCTGTAAGGCAATTTTATATTACTAATACACTTTAAATCAAACTTGAATCTCAAATACTGTATAAATTAAGACAATACTATGATGTAGTGCCAAAACAGTTTAAGAAGAATGGAAGGATGGAATTCATTTAATTTCAATCATGTAATTATAATACAAAAGCCACACATAGATTTAAAGAAAATAACGCTGGAATAAAATATATTGTTACAAAATGTCCACCATGTGGTAAGATAGCTTTCCCACAAGGAGAGGCAGGCTGCAAGATTTGGCGCGAAATCGCCCATTTGGGGACATGCCATAGACGGATAGAGAACGTTATGGAACTAATTCTTACCGCTTTGGCCGAGAATGTTCTCAAACGTAAGCCGAAAGCTATTTAAACCTTGCTGGTTCGCGGAGTAGTGTGTATCTCACTAGAGTTTGTCGAGTCGATAGCGAGTCTATCGAGTGTCTCGTAGTCTTGTAAGGATCTTAAGTTTTACTAACGTTTATTTTATTTTAAATCTTTACTATCACTTCTTATTTTCTACTTCCGGCCAGAATTATAAGCGTGAAGGTTTTTATGCAAAGTTTGTCTGGCGAACGCCAAGTATTTAAGTGTGGCCTTTTTGCCAAGCGAGAGAGAGGAAGCAGTGAGTTCGAAGCAGGCCGCTTACCTTAGAAGTTACGCAGTTGCTGTTTGCCTTCCAGGCCAGAGGTTTTAATCCTCTTGATAAATTAAACGTATTGTAGTGTTCACAGTCTCTGTGCTACATACGCTTCCTGTTATTATAAGGCCAATCTTCCACGTGTATTATTCTAAAGTTAAATTAGAGTTTAGTTTTATTTTTATACTTTTACGTTAGACCCCGAGTGGAGGGTCATTGTATTCCGAAGTACGGAAGTCATTGTATATAGAGAAAAATAAAGGGTTTTGTATACCCTTCGTCTGTATCCTGTCTACTTACTACAATTAGTGAACATAGCTTTAGTAAGCTCTCTGTTCCTAGTCAGGTCCTTGTATGTTCCGAAGAAGGTTAGAAGAAACATTGAACCTGATAGTGGCGCCCAACGAAGAAGAATAACCATGGCCGAGTTTCAAGAAGAACCTGTGCTGCCTGCAGAAAACGGCTCAGAATCCAGAAATGCCAGCTGCCGCCCTGGAAGGATTTGGGTTACATCGTCCAGACCATGCGCGCTTCGATGAAACCAGAAGCAACGTTTAATGGAAACTCACCGGTAACCAGTTTTTTTGGAAAAATTGGATGACCACTTCATGCTCTACCCCGTGCACGAGTTTCAAAAAGTTACCTTAGCTACCAGCGCTTTGAGGGGCCAAGCGCTTAACTGGTTCAAATGTATCGGCAGAAGTCTCTTGGGTCAAGCAGGAAGTCCCACCTATACTTACGAAAATTTCAAGACTGCCCTACTAAAAGCCTTCCCTGTTGTAAGGGATCGTGCGAAATTAGAAACAGAACTTTTCAGTATATATCAACAAAGAATCGAAAACCTCTCGAGCTTTATTTTAAGAAAAATTCACGTTTTCAAAAGCTCTTGTATGGAAACCGTCCGGATCCTGAAATAATTCAAGTGATTTTGCCGAGGTTACTACCCCAAGTGCAAGACTTTATTGAATTAAGAAATCCGACTACACTGGAAAAAGTTATTTGAGCTAGCAATCCAGTTTGAAAGTAGAAGAACGGCGGACGTCGAAAGAAGACGCCAATATCAACAGCGAAACCAATTTGGTACGCCAAGACTACAGCAAACTCAAGCACATGGCTACGGAGAAAAAGCGAATCAGTGGGCAAGGAAACCCGAGCATTCAAAAACAGCCGGCGAACGTCGACAGTTCAATAGCAACCCAGGAAAAAAAGTCTCAAGGCCAGTGGAAAAAAAGAAGGAAAGCACGGAAAGGAAAAAATAATTTAAACTAAAACGGATTTCTGCTGACGAGAGGGTGCGGAAATCCGAAGGCCACGAAAACCCCTCTTCCTACAAGTTAAATACAGTAATGGTGAAAAATTTGACTCTTCCGAAGATTGAAGTCTTGGTAAATAATATCCCGGCCACCGCACTCCTGGATACCGGCGCGCAGTGTTCCTGTGTGGCAGAAGTCTTTTTTAGAAAGTATTTTCGCAAATACCGCATATATAATGCGGATAATACGACAGTATTAGCGGCGCAAGGAGAAAAAATGTAAGTGCGTAGGTAAAGTACCTTTGTATATCCGTATCAAGGACGAACAAGTAAAGGTGATGTTTTTTATAGTAAAGAATTTGCAAGCACATTTAATCCTAGGAATAGATTTTCTTTCAGACGCACAAGCTACACGCTGGATTTTAATGAAGCGTCCCTTAAGCTGACAATGAAACCAGTGCGTGTAGAAAAGGTTGAACCGCCAAGGTTAAATCTTGACCACCTGCCTAATGACGAGCAAGATAGAATCCGACAAGTGGTAAGTGAATTTGCTTCCGTTATTTAGTGATATTCCAGGATTTACTCAGGTTACTAACCATAGTATTGACACCGGAGATGCATTGCCGGTTCGTCAAAAACCATACCGGTATGATAAGAATAAGGAAAAAATTATAGAATGGCATATTACCGATATGCTACGTAAAAAGATCATAACGCCCATCTCAAGTAGTTATGCTAGCCCGGTGGTTTTATGTAAGAAAAATAATGATTATCCTTTGGAGCATCCAAAAAGGTGGAGATTCGCTATTGATTACCGTAAATTAAATTCCATAACGAAATATCCGGTATATCCGTTACCGATTATAGAAGAAATTTTAAGGAACATAAAATCAACCAAATTTATGACGACTTTAGACTTAACGAATGGTTATTTTCAAATAGGGGTCAGGCCTGAGGACGTGCCTAAGACTGCTTTTATAACCAAGTCTGGCACTTATGCATTTTTGCGTATGCCGTTTGGCCTTTCAGGGGGCCCCAGCAACATTTCAGCGATGCATGGACATTGTGTTAAGACCTGTTCTTGGAAAGTCCACATTTATCTATTTAGACGATATCATTATTACTAGTGATAATCTCGACCAACATGTACAGGATTTAAGACAGGTGTTTTCTTTATTAAATGAGGCCGGTCTAAAAGTTAATGTCGAAAAAGTGCAAATTTGCAGCCCCTGAATTAAAATATTTAGGTTACAAAATATCGCAAAAAGGGATCGAGACAGATGAATCAAAAATAATCGCTGTACAAAAGTATCCGACTCCAAACACGGCAAAGAAGCTCTCTTCTTTTCTAGGACTTTGTTCATATTATAGGTCCTTTATAAAAGATTTTGCGGCTATCGCTGAGCCATTGTTAAAATTAAAAAGGAAAAAGGCAAGATTCTCGTGGACGGCCGAAGCCAATAGTGCTTTCGAAAAATTAAAACAAGCATTAACGCAAGCCCCTGTGTTGAAATTTCCTGAAAAGGATGAAGAATTTAGAAATTTCAGCGGATGCTTCGGATTATGCGGTAGGAGCGGTACTTTCGCAAAATCAGCAGCCCGTGGCATTTTTTAGCCGAACTTTAAATCAAACACAAAGAAACTATTCCGCGACCGAGAGAGAGGCACTTGCAGTTCTGTTAGCAGTGCAAAAGTTCCGAGTCTATTTTGGAAAGGCGCCGATAACAGTATATTCTGATCATGCGGCGGTAACTAGATTGTACTCAGGGAAAAATTTATCCCCAAGGTTAATAAGATGGGCACTCAAGCTGCAAGAATATAATCTGGTAATCAAGCATACCCCCGGAAAGGAAAATATCGTAGCAGATGCCCTATCACGAATTAAATTAGACGAACAGGGTAATACCGTAAAAGTTGGCAATGCTCACAGCGTGTACAATAAATTCCCGAGAAACTGTAATAACCGAACTGGGTAAGGATCCTGAGTTTGGAAGTATTTATGAGTATTTGAAGGATCCTGAAAATTTTAGCCACCAAGATATTGTGGCGATAAGAAATAGGGCGGCCCATTACGAACTAATAGATGGTCTATTATTTTATACAAAAACTACGAATTCCAACAACGAATTTCGACCTGTTATCCCAGCTAGTCTTAGATTAAATATCCTGCAAGGAGCTCCATGACAGCCCTTTAGCTTCTCATGCTGGTATTCGAAAAAACTATCCAACGCGTACGCGAGGCAGTCTACTTTCCTGAACTGCAAAAGTTAACAAGGGCGTATGTCCAGTCCTGCCCAACATGTCAAGCCAGTTAATTATATTAATTTCCGCCCGGCCGGGTTTCTAAATAGTATTAAATCCGAATTTCCAAATGAAATAATTGGCATCGATTTATTGGGCCCTTTCCCAAAAAGTCAGTTAAAAATAAAAGTCGCTATCTCCTTGTTATGGTTGATCATTTTAGTAAATGGACCGAAATTGTTCCCTTAAAACGAGCCTCCGCGAAATTAGTTACCTGATTCTATTTTAAATAAATATATTTTAAAATACGGGGCGCCCCTAAAAGTTATATCGGATAATGGTCCTCAATTTGTAAGTAATATATTTGAAGACATGTGCCAAAAACTGGGCATACGTCATTTAAAAATGGTCCCGTATCGGCCGCAATCAAATATAGCGGAACGGGTCAACAGAAATATAGTGAAAATTATCCGTAGTTATGTTAAAAATTTTCATAAAAGCTGGGATAACTATGTCAATGAATTTGCTTTCGCCCTTAGGACCGCAAAACATGATACAACGGGCAAAACTCCTGCTGAGTTATTTCTAGGCAGAAAGATTATAACACCGTTAGATAAATTATTTTATGTGCAACAAAGAGCCCCAGAATTTAAAATGGGTGATATAGAAAAACTAATAAAAGAAGCAAAAAAGAATACGGAAGTAGCACAAAGAAAAAAGAACCTATATTATGACTTGAAACGACGGGGAGTAACTTATAAAGTAGGGGATGAAGTTTTAAAAATTAAGCATTCACTTTCTTCAGCACCAGAAGATAAAACTGCCAAATTTTTTCCACGATTTGAAGGACCATATGTTATAGAAAAAAAATAACTCACGCTGTTGTAGTGTTAAAAGGCCAGAAATGGTGAAACCTGTTCCGCAAACATTGATCAAATAAAACCCTACTTCGATCGTAATAAAATGCAAATCTTTTCAGATCTTTTGCAGGATCCGGCACGGCAGACACCGCAGGTACAAGTTCCAGAGGTGGGAAAAACGACAAGTACAAGGGCAAGCCAATGAGAGACAGAAGCAAGTGAAAAGAAAATTGCCCCGCGGAAAAATTGAAGGTAAAAAGAAAAAGAAGCCGTTCCACCGTCCAGAAAACAGAGTTCACGAACACCCCCAGAATGAAGAAGGGAGAAGGACGACGTATGTGAAAGAGACCAGGGAGAAAGGACGGCAACTATAACCCGGCTTTAAAACGGAAGATCTGACTCATCCGACAGAACTCTCCGCAGCAAAAGTCGCCGAACTGCGGAAGGGCCATCAGCGGCGGAGGAAAAAAGTACAAGGAAAATTTGAACGGCCAACAACGAGGTCCAAGCAGGAAACACGACAGAAGTTTCCCGGTTCCGCCAAGACCAGCTGCCTTCAAACGGCCAAGACCACAAGCAGAGGAGAAAAAGGAAGGTATTCAAGGGTGGCCGTACTGGTGAAAAAAGGAAGCTTCCAGAGGAAAGCACTGAAGGGCGAGCCCGTACAAGAAGGAGGATAAACCAAGCTACTATCTGCAGTACCTTTAAAGACTGGGCCCAGAAAAGGATGTCCGAATATTACAAAGATAAGTAAAATTTTATGTTACTTTGCAAACTTAAGTTAATCTTTCATTCTTACTGCAAGTGGCAGATTTCAAGAAGTTTTACCTCATGCGAGGTCTACCTTTATCGCCAAAAGGGCGAGAAATGAGTTGTGACCGATTTTCTTATTATGTTTTTCAATTACTCGCGCGTAAAACTAAAGTTGATGTATAATAGCGTTGTGTAAAGACTTAAATATTGTAAAAAGTTATTGTATAAATTTTATTTTAAAACATTCTAGCAAGAAAGAAGTTTTAGTCTGAAAGACTTTTTGAAATGTATTATTTCAATGTAGAAAGAATTGGCACTTGCTTTGAAAAGAATAGAAGTTAACAATGTACTACTAATGTATGTTTTCAAATGTGTAAAATTAACGGCATGTTGATATGTTCTTATATACATGTGAACTGTTATTTTAAATGTTTAAGAAATACCGTGATATGGTAAAAGTGAAAGTAATGTTAAAAATTTGTTATTCGTGTGACTGTAAAGATTAAATCATGGCGAATATGTGTTAAAGGTTGAATGATGTAGTTAGGCTCTCTGACGCTACACTTTAGAGTTAGCCACTTTTAGAATAGTACCTCAGGGTTTAGAGTTGAAATTAGGGGTGTGTTAAGAGGTCTCGTTATGTTGAATTTTAACACGTTAGTGTTTTGATTGTAGGAGGAAGTGTGGCACACGTAGACAGAAACACATTCGTGTTTGGTGTTCTTTTACAAACACATGTCAGAGAGCACGGGGAGAGATAATTAAAATAGTCATGAATGAAATAAGAATGTTAAGAGAAGTATAATTCTATATGTTACTTGCCATTTCATTGTGTAACATTTCATTAAACTAGTTTTCCTTCCAGATCTCTGGAAGGAACCAGAATTGAATAAAGCTCCTGTTTAGATGCAGTACAGATGAAAAAAAAGATTGTTGTATATCCTGGGAGCTGCTATTGTAACAAATTTCTTTCTTTTAAATTTCTAGTTTCTAGCGAAGTTATGTTTGTAAAGGATTGGCCTCGCGTTAGATTCTAGAGCTAAAAGTTTTCAACAAGGTCGTTTTAGACCTCAGTTTCAAACTAATTAACTCTGGCGGGAAGTATGTAAGGATCTTAAGTTTTACTAACGTTTATTTTATTTTAAATCTTTACTATCACTTCTTATTTTCTACTTCCGGCCAGAATTATAAGCGTGAAGGTATTTATGCAAAGTTTGTCTGGCGAACGCCAAGTATTTAAGTTGTGGCCTTTTGCCAAGCGAGAGAGAGAGGAAGCAGTGAGTCAAAGCAGGCCGCTTACCTTAGAAGTTACGCAGTTGCTGTTTGCCTTCCAGGCCAGAGGTTTTAATCCTCTTGATAAATTAAACGTATTGTAGTGTTCACAGTCTCTGTGCTACATACGCTTCCTGTTATTATAAGGCCAATCTTCCACGTGTATTATTCTAAAGTTAAATTAGAGTTTAGTTTTATTTTTTATACTTTTTTACGTTAGACCCCGAGTGGAGGGTCAGTGTATTCCGAAGTACGGAAGTTATTGTATATAGAGAAAAATAAAGGGTTTTGTATACCCTTCGTCTGTATCCTGTCTACTTACCACAATTAGTGAACATAGCTTTAGAAAGCTCTCTGTTCCGAGTCAGGTCCTTGTATGTTCCCGAAGAAGGTTAGAAGGAACATTGACCCTGATAGTCTAGTGTCAAGTTGGTCGGCAAGTGTATCACGAGTTGGTGCAGAGAGAATGTGCATCATTGAGGCTTTCGAACGTATCAGCGACTGCATGCGACTTGTAGCGTTGAGAGTCTCGAGAGGATGTAGAGTTCCGAGAATGACCGAACCGAGTTGTAAGCTGTACTTAGGGTCTTTAACGTGAAGCTGTCTTCACTGTTATAACCTGAAGATTGTGTTGTTGATTGTTTCAGCGTATTTGTCATAGTTTTTTTTATGACTGTAAACATGTTTGGGAGCTGTCCTGAATAATACTGGCTAATAAATTGTGTTTTGATACTTCATGAAGTGTCATTATTAATCACTCCAAATCTATGAACCCACACAGAAACGTCACAATATGCATGCAGAATTTGACTCTTTTAAAAGAGTATTTGTAGGATTATAGATTTGACAAAATTTAGTTTAATTTAATTAAATAATGAGTATTCAGTGATAGAGTGCATTGCTGTCATGGAGAATCTAGTTCTTAGCATACCACAGAGGAAGATGCTTTTACCATTTTATGCTGCAGTATATCTCAACAAATCTTTTTGATGGTCTGTCTTAGGGGTTCAGATTCATGATGAATGCTATGGATGTCCAAAAGCACAATGAGCATTCTCTTTGTTTCATCACCTCTTTCGATTATGGAGATGTTGGCTCTTCCAAGTCAGCAACTGCCCCTTTTTCTGGAATCATACCTGTAAACTAAGGTCATTGATGATTCTGGATATAAAGGAAGAGTTATCCGTAATGTATTACTCCTTCTAATTAGATATCAGCAGTTCAGGGGACAACTTGTCAGTTACATACCACATGTTCAGGAAGCTAAGATTAAAATGTATGAAACAACAATATTTGCAATGTTCCTGATCACTTTTCAATATTCTGTTTGCTAAACTTCCTCAATTCTTTCCACATTTTCAAGGAAAGTGCTATTAAAATGCCTTGCTTATCATGCTCTAGGAATGTTCTTTTCAAATTCTGTGCAACTCAAAACATTGCATATGGCTTGTTGTTGAAGCATATCTAATGCCTACTTATCTGATTTGTCACGCAGAATTTCATCATTGGCTTATTGTTCCATCCTTCTAGACAGATGTAAGTTCAGACTAACACACACATATATATCACAATAACACCACTACAATAACTCTTGATATAGACACAGCAAAGTTTCTTGTCACACTGCCGCATACAGTTTGAAAGTCACTGTAGTTCCTAATGCAATCCTGCAGTGCCATTGTTTTGGTACACTACAGAGCTAATCCAGAAACTTTTTACCTTAATAATACTTAATTTTAAATGATTTTAGGACATTACATGCTGATTAAAAGAAGCCTCTAAATTCTGCTGCCCTATGCTTTGGCCTTGTGAGCTGAGATGGGCAGTAAAGGCTTGTACGGTTCTGGTCATTCATCCATCAACATATTTGGATTCATGACACTAGCCACAATATTAAATTACTTTAATACTTAACTTTTCAATTACACATTTATTTCTGGACAAAGTTCGGTAATTCTTAAAAATTGTACATAATTTGCAAAATGTTTATGAAGCCACTGAGATGTACAATGCTTCCAATAATACAATAATGAATACAACTTCCAAAAATAAAATTATAACACACAATGTAATTTTTTATTTTAATTATAAACTTAAGTGTTAAGAGATTTTTAGCTGTACAAGATTTATGTTTCTAGAAAGCATTAAATGGCAAAATGTTTTGTGATAAGAAATTTCACCTTTATGAGTTCAGTAAAAGAAACACTGTTATAATACTAGGCTAACTGCTCTTTTCTGTCCACCTATGTATGCAAAATTTCAAAAATAACATAAGTAATAACAAAAAATTATAATGCCTTAAATATATAAAGCAGTAATGCTTAGTGAATACAGTCAAAGAATAAGGTAAACTTGCAGACAATTTATCACATGAAAAATTATTGAAGCAGTTTTGTTTTGCACATTAGAATTAACTGGTATTAATTGAAATACTTACACACAATTTCTTGTAGCTATGTCTCTATGAATAAGCTTCTTTTTATGAAGAAATGCAATTGCTTGGATAATTTGTAAGGCCATTGCTACCAAATCTCGAGTCATAAGTGCCTGAAAAGTGTAGAAAAGTAGCAAAATTTTTTGCCATCAATTGTAAACATGCATAATGTTGTATATTTTATTGTTCAAAAGTAACATATATATTACTATAAACTGTAGACTGCTAAATCTTCAAATTTACTGTCAGAGCCTGACATTTGCTGACGCTAATTGCTTTAGCCATACTTAGAAATATTTTGAGCTTTTAATAAATAATATAATTAAATGAAAAGATCTATTAGGTCCAGCAAAAGCAATTATTAACGCTTTCAATATAATGCCTAAAATAAAGAAACAAAAATGCAGCTCATTAGTGGTTAAAATATTCAATTCTTGTTTTAAACCAGGTATTAACAACTATTATCATAAAAGCTTAATATTTATCCTGTTTGTTGATGAAAGTATATAGAATACATTCATTACACTTCAAAAAGGGGGAAATATTTTAATGGTAGTTTCTTGGTTTAAAAATTCTGCTCTTTAATATTTTTTTGAAATATTGATTCTGGGGGCTTTAAAAATTATATTTTATAGTTATCTTGAAATCAATTGAAGTTTTATATTTTATATCCAAACCGACCATAGGTAACAGCTCGTTTTGACACCATGCTGATAACAGCAAACAGATACAGATGCTGATAACAGCCAGGGTTAAAGAGTAGGGCTAGGTCTTTCTTTTGCGGGACCCCTTGCCACTGTGATCTTCATAGGGGGATTTAACAGCAAGTAGTCTGATGCCACTATGGTGCATAAGGTCTCATTTTACACATTTAAAATTGTGGTGCCATTTTGCTGCACCACAGTTTTAGTCTAGTGATGCAGATAGGTAGCAAGTAATAGTCTAGTGATGTAGATTTCCCAAATTAATTTTAATCATATATGTTTGTTTTCCAGTAATGTATAAATATTTAGAAAATTTTGAATCTATAGTGATTTTTCAGTCTTGAAAGCAACCTTAGACTTCGTAGTTTTGAACATGTATGGCAATTCTTTCATCTTTCTGCTAAAGAAGAGGAACTTATGTTTGATTGCCCTTGAAATTGATAGTCTTATTCAAAATTTAATCTAATCTAAGGTTGCTTTTTGGCCTAGTTATAAATTTTACGCGTTTATCTTCTGATTCGATATACTAACAGATAACTTTTTAATAATTTTCTAGCTTATAATCACATCTGTATCACATATATTAAATTTAAATAAATATAATATGCAAGCGTTCATTTGCATTTTGGCAGCTGAGGCCATTGCATTTTGGCAGCTGAGGCCATTTGCATTTTGGCAGCTAAAACCATCGAAACTAGTCCTGTGAAATTTTGTAAATATAACGTTGGTTTTGTTGTATTCTAAATTAATACTTGTTCGAAGTGTTATTTTATTTTAGTAATATACAAGCTTATTTCTAGGTATTGTTCACTTTTTTTGTCACTTCAAAAAGGTTTGCTCTTGATAAAAGAATGGATACATAGAGAAAGCAAAAATTTGCTGCAAACATTTTATATGCAGTGATTATGAAAAATGACATGAAAAATTGCTTGCTTGGATTGCTCCAAAAGATACTGTTAAAATCCAATGCTGTGCCAATTTACTATGCACAGAAGGAAAAATAGCCCCAAGAATTTGGTGACAAGAGGAAAGAAAAATAATGCACAGCGTTTTTGAAAGATTATATGAATTAAATACAAAAGGAAATTCATTTTGAGGCCAGCTACGAAAATGAAGATGACAAATATCATTGATTTTAAAACAGAACTTGCACATGACGATGAAAATATCCTTCAATGCTCTAACTGTAAAGACACACAAGTATGCATTAATAATTAGAAAGGAACAAAATATTATAATAAACTTATATTGAACCCTTGAACAATGAAAAAAAGAAAAATTTTAGAATGTTTGCTCAGTGATAAAAAAGGTGAGTGACATCCAGAAAAAATTTTATTTTATACTAGAAACTCAAAATTTTAAAATAGCAAAACTTAAAAAAGCAAAGCTAGTTGAGCATTTTAGATAATTTATAATTGTATAAAACATCAAAATTATTTCACATGAAAAAGGGTTTTCTTGCTGAGCTCCCTCTTTTAAAAAATGAAATATTTTTTTAATACTGTGAGTAGAGATATTTTGTCAAATTTAAGACAATGATTTTGCATTTGTGTTTATCGAGAATTGCTGCATATGTTTAAAACTATGCCAATGTGCGTTTTGCCTAACTTTGAAAAGCTGTTATTATAGTTATCATAGAAGCAGTAGATGAAGAGAGGACAGAATAAATGAGCATTAAAAATATAAATAAATGAGCATTAAAAAAACCCCGTAAGCTTTAAGAAAATGAAACGTTATGTTAAAAGAATAGCGCATTTTACCTGTTATCTTAAAATTAATGATAAGTATTATTAACTTTTTAAACAGTCTGTGTAAAATGCATACAACAATAACATTTTTCTCTTCCAAAATAACTATCTTTCATACACAGTTAATTTTAAACACTGGGTCTTCAAATTAAAAACATTAATTCCTCTGTTGTGAATTGCATCTCCGTCGTCAGTGTCAACATGACTATGTCATCACATCTCACTTCCTGTTTCAGGAGGAAAAGGCTCTGAGCTAACTCTTCTCTTCCAAGTCTTGGATAACAGCAGACAGCATGCTGATTAACAGCGTTTTTGTTGCCATACGTTGTGGTCTTGTTTATTTGGAAACAAACGATTTTAATTAAAATAAAAGAATAATTAAAATAGTTACAGGAAGCTGGGGAAGAAAACAGGTAAAAAACCTACCGGCTTTGGGGTTGGGGGAAGAAATAAAAAAGCTAATTTGAGAAATAAAGCTTCAGCCGATGGGTAGCTGTAATACATGTTACTGGCGTAATCTGTGTACAAATAACATGCATAAAATGTCAGCGAAATCAGATTCGAGAAGATTGATAACTATTAAAAAATATTATTATTTTAATTATTTAAAAAATTAAATTATTAAAAAAGTATACAATATAAAAAAGTATGAAATGATTTAAACTTTAATGTCACACCAGAGAGTTTGTTAAGGCTGACTTTTGCTAAGCTAGCAGTTTACCAATCTGCTCTTGGACTCACTCCTGCTAACATAAATTTGTCTTTTTAACTTTACTATTAAACATCGCTTTCTTCGCCCTTATGACATATAAAATTCAAATGTAAAATCACAAAATTTTTTAAAGCAGCAGATTTTTTGAACGCCTGATAAAGTGCTTGCCATAAACTATCTATTTTTTTTTTTTTTTTTTTTTTTTTCCTTTTTCGATTCTCAGTTCATCATATATATGTTCAATTTTCTTAGCAAAATGACGTACAAAACCTTATTTTTGGGGGGGGAGGGGGAAGTGAACATCACTTTCTTCACATTAATGCACATTAATTTAACTAAGTGTTATAATTGCAGTTGTTAAGATTTAACGTTAGTAAATAAAGCCACCACTGTCTCAAGAGATAAATTTTTAGTTATTTTCATTTAAAAGACATCCCTAGCAACGGTCTAGCCGACAAATGGAAAAATGCATTCAAAAAACTGCTTTATGTTATTTGACATATTAGTTAAGCTAGGTTAGGTAAACTGCATACGAGAAAACTCTTGCTATAAAATAATTCTGTTTATGTTTAGTTTATATTTTTGCTATTAATTTTTTTATCAGTAAAGTGAACCGGACTACAATCATGCGAGAACTTGTCAATGATTATTAACTATGCAGCATTTGTGATGATATATGTCATTACAATTTTTATTATTGCAATTATTTCTTCATTCCCCACCCCCAATAAGATAATTGAATAAAGTATAACATTTCAATACTATGTCCTCTAACTATAACAAAAGCCCACTAGTGAAAATAAAATCTTGAATATTGAGCTATCTCGACAAACATTAAAAAATATGATGACTTTACATTATTTAACTGACATCATTCATACTTTTAAAATTACTCTTCTGAGACAGCCTCTATCCGTGGAATTCTGAAGCAGGACTCGTGAGAAGCACAAACACTAAGACTGATTTTCTATCATGTTTTGTTTTATCGTTTATGTTTTGTTTTAAATAAAATTAATGAACAGTAAAAAAATAAACTGTTACACTTATTGTCAAATTATTGCTTCAGTTATATGACACATTTTACATTACATACACTGTAGTTTTTAATTAAACTTTAACCACATCAGATGCATTCTTAGCATCGACCTTAGCTCAACAATCAGTACTATCTAGGGGCACAGAGCATCCAGCAAATGTGAGAGATAATTGATAACCCAACAGTCTTGAGAAATTTTCTGTGATCTTTTTTAATTTTAGACCTAAATCATAGTATAGTTAGAGACCTAGATGACAGAAATACCATTTAAGTAATAATAAATTTGTAAGGATCTTAAGTTTTACTAACGTTTATTTTATTTTAAATCTTTACTATCACTTCTTATTTTCTACTTCCGGCCAGAATTAAAAGCTTTAACTATTTTGCAAATTGTCTGGCGAACGCCATGTACTTAAGTTGTGGCTTTTTGCCAAGCAGCGAGAGGAAGGAGTTAGTAGCAGCAGGCCGCTTGCCTTAGCAGTTTTACTCGGTTGCTGGTTGCCTTCCAGGCCAGAGTTTAATCCTCTGATAATTTTAAACGTATGTAGTGTTAACAGTTCTCTGTACTACACGCTTCCTGTTATATACGGGCCATCTTCCACGTAGGCCCTTATTTATTATTCAAAGTTAAATTAGAGTTAATATTTTTATATTCTTACGTTCAGACCACAAGTGGTTGGTCTCTGTATTCCGAATTCCGGAAATTATTGTAAAGAGTGAAAAATAAAAGGGTTTCGTATACCTTTCCTGTGTATCTTGTCTACTTCCCACATTTATTGAACATAGCTTTAGTAAGCTCCCTGTTCCGAGTCAGGTCTTTGCATGTTCCCAAAGCAAGTAAGGCGGAACACTGAACCTGATAAATTGACTAGTTGTATCAGAAGCATTCCATTCAGTGTAATATGTACAGCTGCTTAACTCTGTTGCCGGCACTTCCATAAAGTCTAAAAATTTTCTTGTGCTTATTCATTGAAAAGTCACTATTAAATTTTTGAACAAGTTGGCAGAAAGTAAAAATACTGAGGGTCGTGTTACTCCCTTTAGCATAACCATTAAGTTCATATCCACTTTTTGGATTTAAAGACCCACTAGTGTAAACAGGCCTTTGTGGGCTTAATACCACAAGTAAAATACCACTTCACTGGTTGTCCAGTTTTGCCCAAAATCTAATGAACTCTCTATATGCATACAGAAAGCAGATGTACAGAAAATGGTATAAATTATTGTGAATAGAAAAGTCCTGGCAGACCTCATCATGAAAACAGTAAACATGTGATATGTTGTGGCCATCCTAATACGTGAAAACTCGCTATCGAATTTTAGACCGAAAACATTACCTCTCTTAGCTATCTGTGTAAGTTGTCAATAGGTAATAAATCAGAGGCTTGACATATTTTAGCAAAGGGAGGCAAATGCAACTTACGTGACAGTGCCCTTCGGTAGCAATCAAGCACTTGTGGAGAAATTTCTTCAAATTGCCTTGGTTCATGTAAGGATACACCAACATGGGATGATGAGGATCATCTGTGCAAAGGCCGATGAGGGGAAGAATGCATTTGTGGTTCAAGCCAAGCATCATCATTCCTTCTGCAGTCAAGAGAGACACCTGTATTGTGGAAGCCTGATCTAAAAGTAGAAACAGTATGCCAATTTGTTTAATTGCATATTACGCTCTACTCCTTAAAATTCATGACATGAATAATATATATGTGAAAGATAAGAAATATGCGGATCAAAATTCTAGCTTTTATTTCCAGTATTTGCTTCTTGACTTTATATTTTAATCTGGTTAAAAAATGTAAGTGCTTATAATAAAGTGGTCTAAACTGCATCATTTCAAAACTGATACATGTCATACGACTCTTTCATAATGCTAATAATGCAGATACCTAGGTAACGCTTCAGGAAGTAAAATTTCAGATTTGGAAACTAAAACCTTAAAATTAGCGAATGGGGATGAAGTCGAAACGAAACTAAATCATTCTGCACCAGCACCACACTCGTGAACACATTCTTGTTCTCGCTCCCAACTTGCCAAACTGCCACTCTCCGCTGCTGCACTTTTTTTAGTCCAGTGAAATTAATTGTAAGGAAGATGCAGAAAAGGCATAAATATGACGAAAAGCGGGCATGCTGATTCCGCCCATTGCACAATGGAGTTAAGTTATGAATGGGCTTCTCAACAATAAAAAAGTGTTAAATAGACACAACTGCTAATATCTTTAATGCTTATATATATATGCATTCAGAAAATTTGCATTTTCATTTCACTATTTATTGCACATTACTTTACTGTGGAAATATATATTTTCGGATTGTTGTTTTTGTAGTCTTGCCCATATTAAATGGAACAATGGCTGCCAGAGCCTACTTCAAAGAGAGGTTGGACCCCAGTGGGATTTTCTACCCCAGTTTTGAGGGAGCCGGTCGAGGGATTTGGGGTCTCATCCCTGTCACCTTCCACCAAGCCACACGAGAGGACTTTCGGCTCGCCGCATATTTAGAGTGCCACCATGCCGCACCGACACTATACATTTACAAACATTCATGTATTCTCCAGGATTCGAACCTAGGCCCTTCGGTACCGTAGTAGGCTTCCCTGACCACTATACCGTATGGGAGATATGTTTGTGTTTGTGAGCAATATATTTGTAATTATCTTTTTAGTATTTTTGTATCTCCAAATAAATTACTATTTTTAGAGCAGGAAATAAAGATTGTCCTAAAATACTATTATTATCTAAAATTAAACTGAATATTTTCTCAAATTTCAGATTGTTCCTGTCTGTGCTTCGACGTAAATTTTGAATTTTAGAAATTTTCATAAAAATTTTTCGCCCCCCCCCCATTTTTCGACAACTAAGATAGCTAGACTGGACCTTTGAGCTTTAGGAAATCTAAAGACTGTTTTGTGTCCTACAATTTCGTTAATTCCACTCTCCTCCTCCCATTAGATATAACGTAACTGCCAGCCTTGAAATATGAGAATTAGGGAGTTTTCAAAAAAACTCCATTAATAAATTTGTCTTAAAGTCATTTTATACACAATTCAGGTTTTTCAACTAATTACAATATGATTTTAATATAAAAATAACTGAGTATTATCCCGTTGACAGTGAAAGCTGGCTTCCATCGAACCATGAAAGGCGGCGGAAATCCCAACGAAGCTGCACTAATCGTTCCTGCGGAATCCTAATTAAACTGATGCCTCATTATTCAGTAAACAATCAGTATTCGACCAACTTTGTTTTCGAGCTTCATAAAAAGGTTTCGTCAATTTCTATTCCTTTGTTAGGCCATCCGATTTTACCGAAAATTCTGTTTCGTTATGACTACTATAAGTATAAAATTCTCGCAAGTAATTATTCTAATCTATTAATTACTGTTTTGTCTGTCGTCTTCAGATGATCATAACTTGTCCATTAATACACACATGTGTTGATGGTAGGATCTAATAACTTTGAAAATAATCTACTGCTCGTTATTCTGTAGAAGGAAAGTACCAAATTTTAATATTTTTTTTTCCAAAATGCAAGAAAAAATACAATTACAGTTAATTAATATAGACGACTTATAGAAAGGGGGAAAAAACACTAAAAAGCTCATATATTATGAGTGTGTTTACGTCACGCTTATCCGTAATTGCCACTAAATCGCGCTGCTTGGCGATAGTTTCACGGTCGACGAGGTAATAGGTAAGTAAGTACTTTTATGTCATTATTCTAAATTTAACCCTTTTGTAAGTTATGTTCTTTGACTTTTATATTTATTAAAATATTTCTATACACGATGAAATTAAAATTGACAATTAATATGCATATTATAAGTAGATAAATTTAATAATATATTACTTAAAAACTTGAAGCAAAATTAAATACAAATAATTTTCTTAAATTGCAAGACAAACACGCCAATGTAAAATTCAAAATTTTTTAAAACAGCAACCTTACTAACCAAAACAAGGTTATTGTTTTGCATAAATTTGGAAAATAATTAACTATTAGTTTAAAGTTCTTGTAAAATGTTTTACGAACCTCTATGATGGATTGAAAAAGTTCAGTTAGAATAAAAATGAATCAGAGAAATTATGCCGGTACTTTCCAGTTAACTGGTAAGTTTGCAGAGTTTGAATTTAATTTGCAATATCGTCACCTTAGTCTTCTAACTTCTTTTTTAAAAATTTATTATAGAAATCACGGCATTTTTCTTTTCTTAATGAAATAATAATATTAATTATTCTTTTAAACCTGCATTTGAGAAAGATAACCTGAATTTAATTAAAAAATGGGGATTGTTCTTTTCCTTCTCTCGCCCGTTTTGCCTCATGTAATGTAACCAGATGTGGATCTTTGACCTATTTTGTAACCTAGAAACTATTCTGCGGCCAGTAGTATCTTCCGCATTTTCTTAGCTATAATAGTTAACAAGAAATTTCACAAAAATGCGAAAATCCCTAGTTAACCGGAAAATGTTCACCCTTTTTCATTTTCAGTACAATTTCTCTGCAACCAAGCGAGCTAAATTACATCCCTGACCTGATGTATGATCTATACACTCTTTTGCTTAAAGCTCTGGTCCTGATTTCTAGCTCTAATAGTTAGCGTGAAATAAAACAAAAATCCCAGTCATATATAAAAAAAAAATTGAATAAAATTGTTTAGCACAGTGCTGCAGATCATACTGTGAAAAATTTAAGCAACTATTTTCAAATCAAAATAACAACTGTTTCTAACACAAAGTTTTAACAAGTTAGTAATTCTGTGTTATATGCATAGCTTCCAAATTTTTTTTTATATTTTCAGTTTTCAAGTTTTGCAGCAACACTGTTTTATGTAAATATACAATTACAAAAAATTCTTTTGTGATATAAATGCAATATCTTCTGAGAATATACTAAAAATGACATCAGATTATTCGGAGAAATTCTTCAAAACACGTAATTAAGAAATGAACATCGTTCAAAGATTCTGTGTTTTCATACAACACCTGCAACTAGTTTACCTGTGACTGTTTTAACAAATGCATGCAGCCCATGGGAAGCTATCACATCTTCATCTCGAATTACCGCATGGTAAATCTGGCCAAAGGTACCTGAAAAATAACAAGGTTTAATTGCTTAAAATCCTGAAACGAGAAAATATGAAAAAGAAAAGGACACAAGTTTTCGGAAGTTACGAGCATACCTTCTTGTAATTTTTCTTGCAATAAAATTTTGCGTCTATCAATCCGTATTTCTGCTATCTGTTCTGAAATATCCATGGGCTTTGTCTCGTTCACTAGGACTGAAGTTGTGGTGGTGATAGGTGTCAATCTTTTAAAACTAGCATAACCTAGAACAGGGTGAAAAATATATATATTTGAGAATTCGAACCTTTTAAGTCTATTGAATAACTTAAGATAATTCTAAAAACAAGTAGTAATTTCCTCTTCAACCAAGACAAAACTTTTAAACATCGTCAGCTCTAACTACAGGGAATTAGCTTTACTTTTTAAACAAATACACTAGTATGCAAAACCTTAACCAACAAATTCTTTTTTCAATGTACAATCACGGAATTGTTGAAAAGGGGGTTTTGAGACCAATATGATAAAATGGTAACTCAGTAGAAAGGTGCTGAGCGTATGCAAATAAATATTAGCACCATTACGTCAGGCTACGTCAGGGCAAGTAAAACGCGAGGACTCAGCGCGCGTAGTGTAAGGCAACTTAAAAAAAAAAAAAAGAAAGAAAGGCGCAGGGCCCGGGTTGGAATCCCGGAGAAGGCATAGACGTTTGTAAATGTATAGTGTCGGTGCGGCATGGCGGCACTCTAAATATGCGGCGAGCCGAAAGTTTTCTCGTTTGGATTGGGGAGAGGGATGGGAGAGCACCCCGAGTGGGGACGTGGCCTTCGAGATAACATGGCCTGGTTAGCTACGAGTGACGTCACAAAAGGCGTCCGATTCTTCCGTGACTTTCTTTGCTTCAGATTTGAATGCGAGCGTTTAGTTCGATGTTTAGAGTGTTTTGTTTTTAATAATGCATAATAATTAAATTTCCAGAGACTTAAAAACGTATATAAAAGATCGTATATTCATTTGCAGTTAAGATTAATAACTTAATAAATATTATTTTTTAAGAAATATTCAAGAAATTTTTATGCCATGTTTTAGGTTATCTTGTGCATTTTTTTTACAATGTATTGTAATAATTTTAGAATACACTCAAAAAGAAGTATTGAAATAAGTAAATAAAAAGGCTGTTATTATTAACATAAAAATGCCTTTACAGTTTGAGAAGGAGAGGAATGAAAGGAAGAAAAGATTTAGAAATATAAATAATCAGTAACAAAAGTAAATATAATTTAGCAAATTAAAAGACATAAAAAATAATTTTTCCTTAAAACTATAATATTTCAGAGCTTCCAAACATTAGCAATGTATTTTTAATTCATTTAATTACTATCTAATAAAATGAACAGAAAGCACAAAAATTTAATCTCAAAACTTTGTAAATTAAATAAATTACAATTTGCTGCAACATTACAGAAAACGATAATTTTCACATATTTATATGTATCTATAGCAATAATTATAGGAATTTACATCTTTTAATAATATTTACATTATTACTTATATATACATGCATAATAAACAAAATATTTACAAATAAAAGCCATCCATATAATGTTTCATAAAAGCGTAAAATCAATAAATTTGCTAAACGAAAATCTCAAAACAACTATACACAGAACAAACCATCATTCTGTCTAATTAAGCAAATACTGTGCAAGTTGTACTAGTATATTGATGCAATAATTAATCGCAATGGATAATTTATTTTGAAAAACCATGGAGGTTTTTCAAATAATAAGAAAAGAGCAAAAAGATTAATACATTTAAAATGTAAAAGATACATTATTGAAAATATAGCTGAACTGCATCATATACTATGTTTCAAATTAAAAAAATAAAACGAAGTCATTTACATACCACTCATTTCGTTTTGTATTCTTGACTTTTTTAAGTTTCCTTTCATCGGTTTCTGAATGCATATTATTTTGAAGAACTTTAGTATAATTGTTTAAATAAATATTGAAGTGGTGCTCATTATTTCTTGAAATCTGCTAGAAAAGGGAATTCCACACATTAAACAAGTTTCATGAACATCAAACATGTGAATGTTTTCTACATATATCTCGGTAATTGACCAGTAAAGAATGCTGTTCACTTCTTTACTGGTTCTTTACTTTCCACTGGAACAACTTTACTCCTAGATAACTGCTATATCTATATGAAGCGATACAAGATACTTTTTCAATTTTAAGGATATGGATGAAAACGAGCAATAAAATATAAATACCAGCAACAGTTTACGTAAAATAATATTTGAAAGTATCTGAATATTTAATTATTTGGAAGAAGAAAAATCCTCAAATATGTTTGTCCTTCTCAAAAATTATTAAAATATGCTTCTCCATCTTATCTTTTTTTCTCCCTGCTCATCCTCTGAGGGGGTGACTTTCAGTAAGTATTTTGGAAACCAGAAAAAATGCTGGGTAGCATCGTTATTTAATTAGGATGCCCTCTACACATCTGAATAAAAGTACCTCGTTTGTTGGTAAATAATCATAGCGAATAATAACATCTTTTCGAAATGTTTTTCACATTGAATAATGTTTTTTACATTGAATTCATCTGCGATCACTTGAAATAAAATTTTTCCTTGGAATTTTTTGATCCATAAATCCCGTTTTACTGTCTTTGGAATTTGATGCGATAATATTCATTAGTGCCATTAATTGGATTTGCATGCTGAACGGACCATCGTGCAGGCATGATAGACAGCTCTACGTAGAACGATCGTTATTCTTGTTAACAATAAGTTAACTAGTAATCTCAATTTAAAACGAAAATATCCTTAACAACATTAATTAAATTTAGCAACAAAAAAGACACGAATAATAAAAATATACAGCATGCAATCAACGTAATAAGAAGTCTTCGCTTGCAGTGCGAAGGATGAAAGTTCAGACGCCTTACGTGACGTCAAATCACGTGAGTCTGCAGCTGACCAGGCCATCTAATCTCGAAGGCCACGGTGGGGATCCCCCGGGGTGCTTTCCCTCAAAATTGGGGGTGGAAATTGAAGTCCAACCTCTCTTCGAGGTAGGTTTTGACAACCATTGTTCCATGTAATATGGACAAGACAACAACAACAAAGGAAGGTGCATTTCCAGGCATTCTGCAAATGAAAGTGAAACTGTATGTGCAGTATGACTAAGAGAAAAAATCAAGACGCCCATTAGACGTGATAGAATGATTAGCAAGCTTGAGAAGTGGTATATTGGATCTCTGTTGCCCAAGAGTTTGGAATTTATAAAAGTGCTGTATTACAAACTAAAAAAGCCTAAAACAACTGGTACGGCACCGCTTACACTGGTATAGAGAACACAAAGAGTGGACGCTTCATTAATGGAGTCAAATTTTCTTTATTAATGACAAACGATTTTCGATACCAGTTGATATAGAGAGAGGTAGGGTTGCGTTTCATCCCCCAATCATTACGGAAAGAGAACGTTTGGGTGATCCTAGCGTGCTTGTTTGGGGAGGCATTGTGATGAAGAGATGGACGGAGCCACACATTTTTGACAGAGGTTCACTTGCTGGAGATCGTTACTGTAATGAAGTTATCCTTCCCCATGTGCATCTTTTCTAGAGTGCCATTGGTCCCCGACTTTCATGGATGATAAAGCACGGCCACACAAGACTCATGCTGTTGAGGAGTTACTGGAAAGTAAAGATATCCAAAGAATGAACTGGCCAGCGTGCTCGGATTTAAATCCCATTGAACACATGTGGGATACTTTAGGAAAACACCTGGCGTCTTAAGATTTTAGGGAAACACATCTTACCCTCCAGAGAATACCAGTTAACTGAAACAGATGCTCCTTGAAGAATTGGAAGGTTTTTATCCCAAGAACTGTTAGAGGTGTCCATTCTGTCAATAAAGCCTTTTTCTATTCGTTCCGTACTGTATGCGCAGTTGTGCCTCTGTAGTATGAATTTCATGTCTGCCCGTTGACCTTGCCTAGCAGCAAAACCAACCATGATATCACTAGCATGGAGGATTGCGCATGCGCAAACCTTTTCCGACGTGCCTAACTACTTCACACCTTTTGTGTTTCCGCGAGGGCGAAAGAACATGTTTATAAGGACCAATCAGCTTCTCGCTAACAACATTTTTTTATGTTTCATTCAGTCGATTCAGGCGAACGCAGTTCGCGAAGCGGGCTACCACGCATCAGCACAATCCCAAGATATTCTGCAAACTATTTTCTAGCGACAATATACCCTAGCATACAAGAGTCCATGTCGTGAGAAGTTGTAGCAATTATAGCAAGTAACAATTTTCAGGTGGTGAGATAAGTTTCGTAAAATAGGTCTCTGACGAAAAAAACTGCTTCTGCTACTGCTGGCTGCCACCCATTGGGGCGGAGCGTATACGAGAGTAATGGTGAGGGCTGGAAAGAGTAACATGGTAAGAGCAAGAACTACCTGCCACGAAAAGTGTTGGAGGGGGGGTAAGCTATGAGCCAAATATTTCTTAACAGTTAAGATGGTAATTAAAGTTCTATTATATACACTTTTTTTAGTGTTTCCCATCATAATTTAGTTATTATTATTTAAACCTTAACTTCCTTTTGAGGTATAAAATAAGTTTTCTCCCCTGTGTCCTTCCGTTTTCATTGATGGGATATTGTTTTTAAATACACTGGTGCAAATTAAGGACAGAGACGGTTTTTTATATATAACTTTGTCAAAAGCTTCCAATCAACACTTAATACCGTAAGATCCCCAATACGTAGGACATGAGTAATTAAGCACACTTACTAAAAGAAATCAAGGGAAAAAAACTTATTGAAAAGGCATGACGCAATGCGATGAAGGCCGAAACATCCCTGTATTGGTGTCCAGCACGAAACATCCGGTCTTAATATGGATATGATCTCCACTACTCTAGCAGGTTTCACGCTCTGCCCGTCTGAGAATGAGGGTGTCAATGAGTTGTTGAGCATTCTGCCCATTCGTCTTGCAGCCCAATCGAAGTCCGATCGTTACTGGTGGTCGTACGAGTGCCAAGCGTCGCCTAGAAATCCCAACATGTGCGATGGAATGAGATCCCGAGATCGTGCCGGCCAATCCATACGTTCAATATCCTCACTCTCTAAAGCTGTCGCAGCTACTGGCATGACTGTGCATTGTCGTCCTTAAAAGGAACGCGACCCATAGCGCCTCTAAAAAGAACTAACAATGGAGAGAAGAATCTCGTTACATAACGGGTCCCGTTGACTGACCGTCGAAGATGTGGGTCTGTACACTACCAGCATGATGCCTCCCCCAACGAGAACACCCACCTCCATACTTCCCTTTCAATGATGTTCGAGGATGTTGCCGGCTTCCCCGCTCCTCCTCCTATGAGTACCGATGAAATCGTACTCAGACTGAATCTGCTCTCATCTGTCAAGAGTATCGTCCCATTCATTGTCTTTCCATTCCGGTTCCCGGCACCACAGAGAACGCCTTCTCCGATGGGTAGGCGTTGAGGTACACCCTACAGGCGTCGTCAAAAAACCACCACCTGCAGTCTTCTGGCCACTTAAAACGCATATCGTCGTCCCAGTCGCCTGTGTCGTGTGTCTAGCGATTTCCCCGCTGTCTCCGCCTGTTTCTTCTGGCCTGTAAGGCAATATACGGTCATCTGCGGTGTGGTTCCTCGTGGACCACTACTAAACCCCCTACAGCTGTTCCTGTAGTTTAAATTGCTCCAAGTCGTAAACGATCTTGTGAGCAATCGACTCGCCAGCCACACTTTTCCACTGCGGCCTTCTCAACTTCCATGATTCGACCTCGGGTAAAGCATCCAGATGGTCTAACAGATGATATTCGCCATTTTTCGCGAGGCAGCAACGCGGTGTGATTTTAACTGCTATAGGGTGCAATCTCTTGCCAGAAATATGATCTTACACGACGACAGCTTATACTACTCAGACACTCCCCCCTTACGTCTACCTGCATATCGGCGCATGCGCTACCGTACACCCTCTTAATCTCCTGATTGGTCTTCTGTCCGCTCTGCCTCTTCGTCATCTGATCTGCTATTTTTTCGACTTCGTCCTTAATGTTTGCACACCAGTGATTTGGATAACATCCGAGTTCAGTGCGAAAGCTTTTGGAATTCATAAGGATTTGATAAAATTCTAATATTCTGCGAAACTGAGTGTCGTGATAGAGTTAACACTAAAGCACATTGTTGCCGTTGTAGGATTTTTATGGGCTGTGGAGCAGCGAATAACTATGGTGAATGGAATCCAGCAGCAGGTCGGGAGAAATTTATTTGAAACATTTTGCAGCCTGGGCAAACAACTCCGCTTTCACATTGTGGTTTTCTTAGTTTCTGTGATGATCATCATCAGTGCTTGTTTTTTTTTTTAACTGATATAGGACATACACACTATTTACCAATAGGTATTTGGGCACTTGTGATAGAAAAGAAAAACAAAATTTATTCATATTCAGTAGTTACCTCCACAAGCGGCAAGTACAGCCTAAACCCTCCCCGGAGCATGCTTTCCACAAGTTCTTGTTTGACGGCTGCCAAACAAAAAGCAAAAGCACACATATCAAAAGGAATCTAATAAGGTTTGTTAAGCTAATAAGCTTTCTGTTTCTCGACACACATGCACATAATAGTCCGAAAAAGTAAAATCTTCAGTAAGAGTTATTAAAAAGACTCGAAATTTCATCCACCAGTAATGTTATACATTTGAGCATAGACAAATATTGGATTTTTAGTTATGACAAAATTATACATTTTTTAACTGATTATATGCAAATTTCCACTCTCGTAAATATCATTTCCTTGTCTAATCCTAAGGTTCCAAAGTAACGTTGAAAACTTGTATAAGTTTTATCGTTTTATTTTTACTATATAAATTCTAAAACAAAATATTCTAATGCTAGCTTACAAGGTTAGCTGTCTCCGAAAATGACAATCTAATTTCCTGACGAGCTCATTCAAGATATGTTTGATTGAAGGAAAGTAGTTCACTCACTAAAAAACAAAAACCTGAAACTTCATGCAGTTAGCCCATCGAATTGTTAGAAACTTAACTCAAGATGAAACACCAGTATCTGCCAGTTTTACCTTTTCTGTTATACTAAATATTTCAATAAATTGCTCACAGGCCGGAGAACAACTTGCCGCAACATATCATCAACAGAAACATTTTGAAGAATACTGAGAATTTATAA